GTGTGTGTGTGTGTGTGTGTGTGTGTGTGTGTGTGTGTGTGTGTGTGTATAAATATCAACATCAGGCAAAGTGTCTACAGCAATTAAGAACCTGGTCCCAATCAGAACAGAATTCCTTAAAATATTGTCTTCTTTTTTATCACAATTGCCCCTTTGGATGTGAGTGCTGGTCTCAAAAAAATTTGCTTACAGAACAAACAGAAAGAGCAAAAGGGGCTTATTCCAGGATAGTAAACAACTCTAAACTCATGATAGGTAAGGGGTTGAGAGCTTCATAACTTAATCTTCTACTTCCAGATGATGTTAGCAAAATACTTTAAGATCACCAACAAATACTCTCCCATGTTCAGATAATGAGCTATTTCAGCTTAGAGTGACTAGATCTTATGCATCTCTGTATCATCAGCTAGTATATAGTAGGTGCTCATGTGTTGAAGGAAAAAAGCTTCATCTGTCCAAAGATAAATTCTGACTAAAATGGACTAGAATAAAATCTTTATTGGCTCCACATGAAATTACACGAACGTCACTCCCTACCCCTTGCCCATAATTGACAGCCTAATGTTTATGTTGTTCCATTTATTTAAATATAGTTTAAATTGTTATTTACACAATAAAAACAATGTCCAACATCAAAAAACACCCTTCTCTAGTTTAGAACTACTGGAACTCGTCACAGAAGAACTCATGTGATTGAACTTTGTATTAGGGCTTTCGCAGATTATTCCGTGGAATCTCCCAGTTCTGCATGATGGCTTGCAGTCCCCGGTCTCTATTCAAGGCCCAGAGAGAAGATAGAAATGGATTGAGATAAAAAGGATAGTTTCATCCATGTTCATGTAGTGCATACATTCCAGACATAAATATGAGACAGAAAGGGCACCTCTGCAACAGATTAAGTCTTTGATCGATCGGAGTTGTTTACCTCTCTGAGCTTTGATTTTCTCATCTCTATCTTAGATTCATCCTAGAATCTTTCTTGCTCCCTTTTAGCTCCAATGTTCTTTGATTGGGTTCTAATTTATTTACTAGATGCACAAACTGAAACACTAATGCATTTTGCTGGTCAGTCCTCAGCAAACAAGAAGCCGTAGAATGCTCTATTTCTTATTCTACATCTATACTTGGGCATAAGCTCACAGAGAGCTGGGCTCTAAAAAGGCCCAAGTGAAATTCTCATTTTATACTGGAGCAAATGCCTGTGTGTGATTTGGATAATTCCTTTAAGTTTTTATTTAATAATTTAAATGCCACGGAGCATTGTTTACTGACACCACAGAGTGGAATCCACCTAATGAACTTTATTTTACTGCTGCCTAAGTCTCACCACAACCTCCCCCCCCCCGCCGCCAGGAGATTTTATTTTATTGGTCTACGCGCAGCCTGGGCACCAGAATTTTACAAGCTCTTCAGATGATTCTAACCTGAGAAAAAGGGGAGAACTATCGGCAGAGAGCAGTGATTTTCAAACAGGTGAACCAGTCACCTCGAGGGATTGTTAAAACACAGATTGCTGGGTGCTGTACGCAGTTTGATTCAATAGGTCTGGGGTGAAGCCCAAGAATTTACTTTTCTAACAAGTTCCCCAGTGATACCGATGCTTTTACCCAGAGACCGCACTTTGAGAGCTGCGGCCAGTGAGAAATATCATTGACAGTGGCACCTGAAGTCCTAAATTATATCCTGATTCTATCATTACCACCTATGTAATCTTAGGAAAAGTAAATTTTTCTCTTTTCCTTAGTGTCTTTTTAACAATACTTAGATCTCAGAGTTGTGAGTCATGAACAAATAGTGTACCCACCCAGGTTTAGTATACTACGTGGCACAAAATGCAGTAACAAATATTAATTTCCTTTTTCCATTACACATGGCTAGACGGTGTGAATAATTAAGTGAAATCAATAGCACAGATTAAAACTTGGCAGGAAAAGAGAGACAACAGAAGCAAACAATGTCTTACTAAATTCTATGTGTAATATAAGATGATAAATACAGAGAAGTGTTTTAAGTATATTGTCTTAAAATACTTGCACTCAATTTTCAAAACTTTAAACACAGTAATTTAGGTAGCAGGAATATTAGATACAATCTAAAACGTGAAAGAAGTATTAGATTCCATCTATAAAGATCATGAATTTTTTTAATGACTTAGAGTAAAATCCGATACCTCATCTAGGATAATAATTTAGTTTTCTAGAGAATCAGAAACAAAAACTAATAGTATACTTGCCGAAAACTTTAATCATGGATCTTTAAATGCTCTTTAATTCCAGGGAAAACCTAAATTATTAAAGTGCATAAGAATCCCTATATAGATTAAACAAAGCAAAACTTCTACCAACGAGGGGATAGGAGTCCTTTTTATTTACATCTACCAACAAACAAAAAAACACTAGATAGCTTTCTCTCCTGCGTGCCATTTGCTTCATTGTGAACGTCTCAAGGTCCTCTCAGGAGTTGATGTCCAAACCCTGAGATGAATCCTGGGAGGGAAGCAGGCCCACGGCAGAAGCTGTTGCACAAGCCTCCAGACGCAGGGAGGGCGGCACGGCTTGGGCCCGCACAGCGGGGCTGGTCAAGGTGAGAACTGGAATACTGTCAGCGTGTCTTTGCTGATCCACAGGTGCAGCCGTCCAAGTGAGGCTCAAAGGTACTGAACACTTCAGGTCTAAAGGCCTAAGCCCCATCAGGATTGTTTAAAGCAAGTTTCTCCCTATACCAATGGTTGGCCCAGAGGCAAGGTCTTACAAGGGTTATTTTTAAAAGCCTCCCCGTCCCACTCTGGCCTGATGCCATTACGCGACAGCTTTCTTTTTTGGAATTCCTGGGGGGGGGGGGGAAATGTGATGGCTGCTGCACATCTCTGTTGCTACTTTTAACTTCTCATCTATTTATGAATTCTCTTAACTAGACTATGAGCTCCTCAAGGGTCCTTAATTCATCCCCTTCCTCCATGAAACTTTCTCAAGTGTCTTCTCAGTAACCGTTCCCTGTTGCTGTCTGCAATATAAATGTGACATTCTTTGTGAAAGTGTCTTAACAAAGGTGGTGTCCAATCAACAAATGCTTACTGGATTATCCATGCTAAAAACTGGGCACAACTAGTTGCCTCAGGGAAAGTCTTCATACTCATGCTCTCAGGATTATGTAAGGCCTATAGTCTAGATAATATATTTGGAGGATGGAAAGGATTTTTTTTTTAAGCCAGAGAATTAGCCTTGGTTCAGCTCTCCCTAGTGTTTTAAAACCAATGTTTGATATCACATGAACAGAATGGTTTGCACCTCGTTAATGTCTTTGGTATTCCTGAGCATCCATTCATCCATATCCTTCTCTCAAGGTTTCCCCATGAAACATCCACCAAACTTCCCTACCCACTGAAACAAAACAAAACCCCTTTCCTTCCCATTCCCTGCCAGTGTTTAGAGCCTTTCAAAAAAACCTGCAATCCAAACCCTCTCAACTGAATCAGAAGCAGAGCTGATTTCATGCCTATCCTGCCAGAGAGCAGTTCCTTCTCTTAGAATTTGCCTATCACTAGAAACCAAAAAAATCTGTTAGATGGCCTGAGAGAGTTCAGGTGTCATCTTGGGAGCATTATCCTTTTGTCTTTTAGTGTTTTTTCACTGGGTTGGTCTGGCCTCATCACCAAAGCTCTGACCACAGTCATTCCAGCTGATCCTTTAACAGGACTATGAGGTACCAAAAAAGTCACTGGGGCAGCCCAGAGAACGAGTAAGATTTATCTTTACATCTCAAAGGGTGTGGAACAGATTGACTTGCACAAAGCTGGATTATGGCATTTTACCTCCACTTCAGCATAGCTATTATGAGAAGAAATATTGTTCTAAGATTTTTAATTAGTTGCTTTTTTTTTTTTAAATGACTCAGATTGGGCTTCCTCTTTCAAGGCTCATTCTCTCACTCCCGCTATATATCAAATTCTTCCATTAAGAACTTCCCTTTTATCAGAAACCTGAAACCACAGAGCAGCTTTCCACTTCTTTAATTCTCCGTAAGGCATCACTATTGTACTGTCATGTATGGATATGTGTATGTGTGTGTGTGCATGTGTGTGTGCGCGGGCGCACACGTGCGCACACATTTGTTTTACAAAAGTAAAAAGGCTCTCATTATCCTGTGTTTGATATAGGCACCCAAGTACGTAGACAGAAATTAAATAAAGGCCACAAAAACTTCCCAAGGAAGATCATTAAGAAGAAAAATCCTCTCTTGCATCACACAGCTGGCCTTCTGAGGCATGCCAGCTCAGAAAAAGGTATCACCTGTGCTGATGGAAAGACTGGACCTTTCCCTCTTTGGGTTGTAGCTGAACTTCTATTGGTGATCCTAGCAAAATACATAACTCCCCATTTGTTCTAAGCATGTCTTTTCTTCAGCTTTCTTTCAAATAATGCCTTCACTCTCCCATTAGATATGAGGATGTGGACATTTGGACAGTGAGGTCCTGCTTGGGTAGCAGTCTCTTTCAGTGACATGTTGGCTATGCAGAGAGAGGGAAGGATATGGGAGAATGGCAGGGGACGAGGGTGAGAGGGAAAGAAAATGTGTCTTCTAGTGGGAGCACTGGAAGAGAACAAGCTTCTCATAGTTGCTGCCGGTATCTCATGAAGGCCCAGGCTGCCACCATGGTGAGGGCAAACACTGGCACCAGCACCAGAGCTATGGGGATGCCACTAGGCTCCCCTTCACTTCGATGTCCTATAGGCCCATTCTGCACCTGTAACTGGAAGGGAGAGAAAAACGTTAACTCTATTGAGCAATGTGTGTTTATCCCAACTGAAGTGTCCAGGTTGACACATTACCTGGGTCACGCCCACCCAAAGCTGTAACCTCCAAGCACTATCTAGCAGAAGGAGTCCTCTCTATTCCAAACTGATCCATCAGCGCCATCAACTCTTTGGAAAGAAGTCTGATGGGGAGGCATTTAACCTTGCTGTGCTACTGACCTAAAGGGACCTGAGGGTGAGCAGATAACCTCTGTCTGCTTCTCTACTGCCTCCACCAAGCTCTGTGTGTATCACACTAGGAAAATGAAGATAGGAGATGAAACCTATTGATCCTATAGGGAACCTCAAAATTACTGGGCAGGGGCAGAGGGTGCCCACCTTCCTAGAAATGTTTACTTAGAAAGATTGCCAGTTCTGAGCAATGTTAACACAGGTACAGTGCCAGTTTTGGAAATACTTCCCAATTCCGAAAAGGCACCAACTCCCTCCTGATATGGTGTCACGGCCTTCATCTCTATTTTGTAACACTAGACATAGACAAAGAGGAAACTTATATGTAACAGAGGTAAAAGACTCAGAGGTAAATGAGTAAAAAGAAATCATATCCTAGTGGTAATAATTTTCCACTGCCTAACAAGCATTCCCTTTTGAGGCTCGGTGGCATTTCTTCAACTTTTTTTTTTTTCTTAGCAAGCCAGTAAACAGGGGGCAGGGAAGTGCAGGGGGTGGGGTAAGGGGCAGAGGGAGAAAGAGAATCCTAAGCAGAGTCCATGCCCAGTGTGGAGCCTGGGCTCGATCCCACGACCCTGAGATCATGACCTGAGCTGAAACCAAGAGTTGGGTGCTTAACTGACTGAGCCACTCAGGCGCCCCTCTTCATATTAATTTTTTTTTAAGATTTTATTTATTTATTTGACAGAGAGAGATGGCGAGAGCAGGAACACAAGCAGGGGAGAGGGAGAGGCAGGCTTCCCGCTGAGCAAGGAGCCCAATGCGGGACTCGACCCCAGGACCCCGGGATCATGACCTGAGCTGACTGGCAGATGCTTAACCAACTGAGCCACCCAGGCGCCCCTCCCCATTTATTTTAATTTGGTTGTCAAGCTTTACATTTAAGGTACATCGCCTGGAAGCTAGGACCTAGTTTGAATTTCCTTTCATGATAAGCAGAACTCCCTGAAGACCCCTGCCTGTGCCAGACGAGCTTTTCAAGAGAGTAAGAAAGAAAAAAGCCAAATGCACTACTGAGGATTACGCTGTACACTTCATTCCCAAGAAGGATACAAAAGTGGTGCCAGCTTGCTGGCTGCAAATAACACCTACCCGGTGCTGCACTCTCAGGGACACAGCATAGCCCGCATTACGAAAAAGGTCTACAGCATCCTGGTGCAGCAAGTTCCTTAGGTCTCGGCCATTTACCTGTCGAAAACAGCAAGAAAAGTAGTAAGAGAGGTAGAATCATAAGTCAAAGATTTATATTCATGTGACTAAACATTTAAAAACTACAGAGCAAAATTCCAAGGACTAGGAGAATGGGGCAAGCACCCTAGAACTCAGAGTCACTTTCTCCTAGAACTGAGGTTCCAAGGTTTAGAAAAAAAAAAAAAAAGGTAGTCTCTCCACCTCAGCTCCTGCCGCCTGTCTCATTTTGAAGCTTGGGTTTCTGTTAACTGTACCTGTGTGTCTTCCCTGAGCATCGGCCTGCTTCCTTACAGTAACCTGGTCTTCTGGGTTACCACCCTAGCCTTTACATTGCTAATCCCTGGCACTGCTAGCTTCAACTCTAGAAATACAACTTTATGAAACTCTAGAAATATAACTCTATGAAACAATTTATTTTGATATGGTGCAAACCTACTAGCCCCTTCTATTGGTCTTGTTCAATTGTGAACAATTTCCCTTGATTCCATGGACACTCCCATCCTCCACAAATTTACTAATTTTACAGTACTTCTTTGATGATATAAATTCCCAAAAAAATGCTTCAGTGTAGGTCAGTCCTATCATTTAGAGGTGAGAGCTGACCAGTGGTATTAATACTTCTTAGTGTTAGGAATGACACTGTCCACAAGTGACATCTACCCCATGCCATACTCGGTGACACGGCATAGCCCGCTTTATGCAAGATCCACACATCTTTTGTACACGTCAACATCATCAACAGCAATAGCAGCAAGAACACCTCATGTATTTACCTGCTAGGTTCTGTGCTGTATGCTTTCCATACACTGTCTAATGTTGTTGTCACGATAATCCTATGAGGTAGGCACCATTTTTATCTTGTTTTCACAGATGAAGAAACTGGAGCTTAGCAAGGTAGATAATTTACCCAAAGTCATAGTAAGTGTAGGAGCTAGGGCTAGTGTTTTTAAATATCGGGAGTTAAGTTACAGTGCCCTTGCAATTGACTGTTCCTTCTGCACTACTGTTCTTCCACCTGGACTCACAAACTGTTCTTTGCTGAAGATCAAGCCATCGATTTATTCAAGGCTCTCATCTTCCTTGTTACTGTCTTCCTTCTCCAAGAGGTTCCTATCATTTCTCCACACAATCTCCCACTAGGTGAATTACTCTAACAACACTTTGGTGTTACAGACTGTCTACCTTACTCTTAGAAAACTGACCACGATCTCTACTCCCTTCACAGTTCCTATTCCTCTACTGAATCTGATCATCCTCATCAAAACCTTTAATAACCTTTTTAGATTTTACCCGCATCCTTACCCATCTAGGAGTTCTTGCTGCTTTTTCAACAAAGCACTTCGTAAACTATTAGAATCCCTTGTCCCCATGATCTGCCATCTTTCCAGTCCTGCACAACACACTGCATTTACTTTCCTTGTCATCACTGAGTTTAATGTTCCTGGGGAAAAATACACACTCATACTTCCCAGCACAGATCCATGCTGGCTGACACTTGCTGTATCCTTATGACCATTCTACTCACCTGGTCAACTCCCTAACGAATGCTCAGCAGCAGCTGTTCCAGACCTTTCCTATCATCAAACCCCAACTCTGATCCTCTCTCCTCTCTCCAGATTCCTTTGCCTTATCTTTTTTGAGAATACTGATAACTCCTCACACTCCATGTCCTTTCCTTCCCTTTCAAAGTTTCGTGATAGCCTCTCACTGCTGCTTTGCCCTTCTTTCTGCATTAGATCCGTTTCCTTTACCAAGGCTAAACCACCCACTGGTGCTCTCGGTCACATTCCTTCTAGCCTTCTTAGGGAAGTTAAGTGATCAATTGCTCCTCTTGATTCCTTCATTTTTATTGCTCTCTGCTCTTTCTCAACTAAAATTATCCTCCTCTGTAAAGAAAAAAGTATAAATATTTCTTGGAACCCATTAGCAGCCTCTTCCCATCTTCAGCCCTCTTCCTTTCATTGCCAGACTTGTTGAAGAGCCGCTTGAGAGCCCTGCCTCCACATCTTCTGCAGCCGTGCACTCCAGTCCCTGATACGGCCAGCATATACCAGGTAGCAGGCAAGAATATTCTGTCCTGCGGGGCAGCAGTGACTTCCAATCAGCAAGTCCTACAGCCCTTTCCTAGTCGCCAGACCTCCTCCCTTTTGCAGTTCTCTCTGGTCTCAGCTTCTGAAGACTTAGCTCCCTTAGTTCTCGAAGGATTCCTTTCCCAATTCCTCCTCTTCTCCTTCCTTCTTAAGGGAAGTAAGCACTCCTCAATGTCTGTAGTCCTTTGTCCCCGTATTTTCTCTCCCATGGTGATCTTTCACAATTTCAACTGTACTCTGCAAGACAACTCCCAAATTTTTTATCCTTATTTCTACTTCTGGACTTGCCAGTTTCCTGCTGGGTGCCTGTACTGGCATATTCTGCTATACCCCACTTCAACATACCCAAAGCCTCCTTTTGACTTCCCACAAAACCAGACTATCTCACCTTCCCTCTTATTGCCACAACCATTCCTTCAGACTAAAATTCTGATATTTTTCAACTCCACTCCCTGTCGATGTTCACATACAATACCTTATCAAATCCTAAAGCCCTAAAATAATACCATTCCTCTCACGCTATTTTCCTTCAATTGCCTCTCTCTTTAGGTGGTGGATACTTTTAGATGAACTATTGTGTTCACCTTCTCACTGATTCACTTTCCTCTAGGCCCTCCCCTACTCTATCCTATTCAAACGCCGTCTCCAGATCAAGCCTCCTAAAGGACCATTCTGTTTCTACAAAACTGGGAGCAGGGGAGAAGAGAGTGCATGCCTGATTTCTCATTCTGGTGTGCAAAGTTCTCCAGGAAGTGGCTCCAACCCACTTCCTCAATTTAATCTCGCATTATTCCCTTTCATAAAGGGAATTACGAAAAAGGTCTACAGCATCTACATCACATAATTCACTGTCCCTAGGACATAAAACATAGATCCTTACCTTCATGCCTGTGCTCTATTTCCACCATCTGAATACATTCCCTTTTTAAAAATTCTATGTATTTTCCAAGATTAATCTTAAACAGGATCAGCCCTGCTACCTATAGTGTAGAAGTGAATATAGTTTTCTAATTGATAGACTTTGATTTCATGCTACCAAGCCACCTTCTGATTATGCCTTTTGTTTGTTTTGGTAAACATGCCACAGGAAAGAACTTCAGGAGTCCTAGAACCATCACAATGAATTTTCAACATCTCAACTTTCTAGTTAATTCCTGAGGGAAAGAATAGGTGTGAGATTGCTGACGATAGTGGGAAGGCTCACATAACTCATCTAGCCCATGCGATAACTGTATTTTTCATTGTAAGGAAATAGGTATTTTCTCTTAGAGACAGAGAAGTTAGGTTAATGATGCGGTCGTGTCAACAAATGCCAAATATAACAGCGCTCAGTATCAGAGCCACGTTTCATAGTGATAAGAATACAAGTGGGAGAACCGAGTCACTACATCACATTCAATGGCAGGAGTACTGAGTTCAAAATCATCTTTGCAATCACAGTCAACAATAATTGACAGGAATCACTGCATATTTATTACCATGTCTGGAGCTGTCTCTTCATTTTACATGTCCTAACTTATTTAGTTTTCACAATAATCCTATGACTTAGGAACTCCCATTTTATAGATGATAAAACCTGGAAGGTTATTCAACTTGTCCATGGGCATATAGAATGGAAGTAGCAAAGCCAGGATTCAAATAGCCTGGCTGTAAAACCTTCACTTTAAAACACTAAGCCATAGAAATTTACACTGTAAGCAAGGATTTTATTTCAGCAACATATCGCTATCCATCACGTTAATACTGTAAATTGAATTTTTACTGGTTTTGCAGTTTCATTTCTATCTAATATGTTATACACTTTCAAAATTTTAGAGATTTGTATAACAATATAAGGTGTTTATAATATTTTTATTCATGTGCATATATTGAAGCAGCATTAAAATTTAGATAAAATTGAGTCAAGTGCCAAGTCACTGACAAGACCTTTCTAGATAACTCTGCTAGATGTGACTGATTTACTGCTTTGAATCTCCATTTTAGTTAACTATCATAAAGCTCAAACTGAACTCTACCCTATACTCTATCACTTTACATTCTACTGTAACTAACTTGGAAAGGCTGTATCACAAAACTCATCATTATAACCCCTGTCATATCTGAAGAGTACTTAGAACAACACTTGAGTATAATAAATGTCACATGATTTCCTGAGGTTTGCTTGCAGACTGCACCCCGGAAAAGCCTGACTGACATATTCTCAACATTTTACCAAGCTGAAAGGCCTGGACTCTGCCAGCAGCCTTGCCTGCCAGTGACTCAGTGTGTAACCGTGGTCCTCACCTGAGCCTCCTTCTGCTCATGGGGAAGAAGGACATTGGTGGTATCAGGCAAAAGAAGGTGCCATACAGAGCGTAAGCCAATTATACCAATCGTGCCTTTCAACCCTCCTCATTAGGCCTAAAGGTATTCTAATATAAAAGGACCATTAACTCTAATTACTTTAAAAAAAATAAGACCCCAGACAAGAGGCCCTTGAGACAGTCAAGGGGAATTTCTTTTTTAAAGAATCATTTCTTATCCTTTGCCCAAGGTAAAAACAGCCCCATAAAACAAATTATGATTCTTTGTCTCTTGATAAGGTCACCTCTAATCCAAAGCCAAATTAGCTTTCCAATATTTGCCTCCCCTAAGCATTTTTAGATTCTACCTCATACTGACTAACCACCAAGTTCCATAGATTTTACTCTTAAATATATGTGGAATTCACTCTGTCACCTTCCATACTAATATAGAATAGGGGTTCTCAAAGTGTGACCCAGAACCAGCAGCATTAGCATTCACCGGGGAACTTATAAGTTAAAAGCAATCCATGCTTTCACAAGCGCTCCAAGTGACTCCAAGTGAGTCAATTCTAACCTAAACTGCCTGAACCAATCTTTAACTGGTCTCTACACCCAGCCTACTTACCCTATTTAACACAAATTCTGTGCATACACAGAGTTTCATTAATGATTTTCCATTTACCAAAGTAGTGATTTTTTCAAATATGAGTCTACGAACCCACCACAGAACACAGTGAAGTTAAATCAGTGGGTCAAGACCAGTATTTAATTTTAAAACAGTGAAATTAAAAGAAAACATAACATAGAATGTATCACATATAGAAGGGATAAATACTATTTTCTTGAGCTTTGCTTCAATTACATGTGTGTTATGTATGTGCGTGCATGCGTGTGTGTGTGTGTGTGTGTATTACCTATTATAGGTCATAATTTAAAACGTCTGAATAACACTTGCCTATGGCAATTTATTGCTCACAATTTATTCAGACTTTATTCACACCCAGGGATCTTGCTATAATGCAGATTTTGAATCCGGTAAGTCTGGGAGGGTTCCTGAGACTCTGCATTTCTAATAAGCTCCCAAATAATGGCCAGATAGTCCTTGGACCTCACTTTTAGTCCCGAGAGCTACTCAACGGAGAAATCTTAGAACGCTGCTAAACTTGCTACTTCAGCTTTCTTAACTCATGGCACGGTTTCACTGAACCTGAGATATGGCAGATTTGCAACATGCTAGAAAATTCTGCTGACTGAATGTTCAGAGAACTGAAATGGTGGTGTTCTGCTTACCAGATGGGGAAATGTACAATTTTTTTGCCTTAACTATGGTTGTGAGCAATCTTTAAAAATTAGTCTCCTATTTTCTGCCTTAGGAAATGAGTAAATTGAGTTAAAATTAGTTTTCTTTTTTTTAAAGTTTAACTTTTCACCTGTGTGACTTTTATTTACTCATTTATTTATTTATTTTAGAGAGGCAGAGAAACAACAGACAGAGAGACGTAGAGGGCAACGGAGAAATCTCAAGCAGGCTCCATGCCCAGCATGGAGCCCAACGCAGGGCTTGATCTCACAACTCTGAGATCATGACCCGAACCAAAATCAAGAGTCGGACGCTTAACTGACAGAGCCACCCACATACCCCCAAATTAGTTATCCTTTGATGATTAATAGTTTTGAATTGCCTCAAGAACTCTAACTATAAAATAATATAAATGTAGATGATTTAGAGAAGGAATGGACTCAGTTTAATAAGCACTGACCACAGATTATACTCTGGATATTTTAATTTTTTTTTTTTTTTTGCCAAGATCCTGAAACGAATCACAAGGGGGGGGGGGGTGGTTCTTTTTTTGTCAGAGTTGAATAAGGAAAAAAAAACAGATTATCTAGTTCTAATTAATCAGACCAAACCAAAAAAGTCCTTTATGCTATGATGCATTCAGAGAGCAGCTAACTTACTGCATGCTTACTCCGTGTCAGCTACAAGCCTAGCTGCTGAGGATACTGAGGTAGGAGGACAAAGTGCCTCGAGGCATCCTTTGTCTAAAGGATTCTGCATATCTCAATGTCTTGGCAGTTGACTGGATGAGGGTTACTGGTGGGTCTTTCCCACTGATTTCTAAGCTATGGGCAAAGACAAATCTTTCATTTTTCAAATCAGTCCATAGCACCTGGCATGGTGTCAAGCACAGGCTGTCAAGCACAGTAGTTGTAGATGTTGAGGACCACTCAGCTCTTTCATTCACCAAGTTAAGAATTCTATTCGATGAGAACATAAAACGCAGCTTAAACTAGTGGCCTGATCGGTGCCATTTTGTTATATAAGGGGTGTGGTCAAAAGTGAATATTCATGGGACGCCTGGGTGGCTCAGTTGTTGGGCATCTGCCTTCGGCTCAGATCATGATCCCGGGGTCCTGGGATCAAGCCCCGCATCGGGCTCCCTGCTCCGCAGGAAGCCTGCTTCTCCCCTCTCTCACTCCCCCTTCTTGTGTTCCCTCTCTCACTGTCTCTCTGTCAAATAAATAAATAAGATCTTTAAAAAAAAAGGGAATATTCATCTATTCAATGTAGTAATCAGCTCACATCACCCTGAGCTTCATAAAAATGTAGAGCTCACCGAGGACGGACTATTCTTGACTATCCAGCTGCCTTCATTTAGGCAGACACACAAGGGAAATGACAAACCTAGATAGTTTACATTTTTTTTCCACAAAAATAAAATTTCTCCAGGTTCCCTGGTAACCTATACAAATATTAAATCATCCTCACCATCACACACACAAAATAAACTCTGGGTGAGGAATCGCCATCGCCAGCCCTCATCTCAACTTCAGGTTCATTCCACTGGTAATATCTGTTTTTGTTTCATGGTTGTCAGATGCAATAGGGTCTTAAAAATAATTTACATTAGTTAAAAAAATTTCTTTTCTTCCTCCCCACCCCCATTTTTTTAAAGTTTAACATTAAACAGAGATCACAGAGATCACGCTTAACTTTTGGTAAGAGGAAATTGCATAAGTCATGCAATTATTTCATTTTACCTGAAATTAAGACAAAACATGGGCATTATTTCGAGAGAAATGGAAAGATTAAATTAATAGTCAATAATAACTCACAGGAAATCTAGATCACTTAATGAGACTTGTATTAATTATCCAGATTGGATATGGTAAGGAAGTGACATGTTCTTAGTCTGATTAGCAAAAGTTAAAAGAAAGAGTTGGGGCATATTTTACAACATGGAAAAATAACCTATGTGAAGAGAGTAGAAAAACCCATAAAGAAGCAATGAGAATAAAGGCTAATAAATAGTTCAGCATCACCATTTTACAGACTCCAAAGCCAGTAATAGAGCACTTAAGAACATCAGAGGGAGAGAGTGAGCTACAAGGGAGACATAACCATTTAACGGTTAATGCCCAACAAGTTCACTTAAGGAGAGAGCAGAGAAGATGGTGAGAGAGGCAACAGAGGCAGTATTTCTTAGGAACAGGGTCTAGAAACAAGAATTTTGGAGCAAACTCTTGGAAAGGAAACTGAAGTCAAATAAGATAGCCCTAGAAAGAATGAAGAGAATATGCTGGCCTTCACCTCTTGTATATATGCTCCATTTTCTCTTTCTCAGTCTTCATTTCTCTCCATATCTGTCTTATATTTTTGCCTTTTCTTTGCCAGGCATTTCCTCCCTCTCTTCTTTCCCATGTCTTAATTGGCCAATACATAAACTTGAATCATTCTTTTATGTCTTATATATATTTGTAATATTTAATATCTTGTATAGATCTTTGTAATATTTCTCATATTTCTTTTACTTTGAAAAGTAAAATCCTCCTTGCTATAAATTTTAAAGTGAAGTGAGCTGAGTTTTTTTTTTTTTTTTTTGACATTTACTTTTCTCTGCATGGACACCTATCTCTTACCATACCCTTTAAAAAAAAAACTTGCGTGGCCTTCCAATAATTTCTTTTCTCTATGAGGCAATGGTCCACATAAGAAAGGCTGTTCATCTTAGCTTATGTCTAATAAGTTCTGTCATACTAAGATATGTGACCTTTTCCCCCTAATTCTATCCTTTATAGAAAGACTGATTTCAGTTTTTATATAAAACCATACATAAAATCTATTAATTCACCATGAAACTCTCTGTTTAGGATACCTAGTCCTAGCTCCTCATTTACCTCTTATGAGGCAGTACATCATACTAATTAAGAGTAGAGGCTCCAAATTCAGACAGACCAGTTTTAGTCCTCTGCCACCTACTAGTTGTGTGACCTTGGGCAAGCTGCTTGACCTCACCAAGACTGAACTTCCTTAGCTGCAAAACAATCATAATAAATGTACTCACCTCATAGGCTTATCACAATATTAAATAGATGTAAAGTTCTCAGCATATTGCTCAGCATACGGTGCTCAAAAACTTCTAACCATTCTTATTTTTCAACAGTCTACCTTTCACCAAACCTTTCTGAATAATATGGCTGTCCTCTTAATCCCTGTACTTTCCAAAATGTAACCCAGGTCCCACTGTTCTGGAGAGAATGTGGTATACATCACTTTAAACTGCGTACTTTCTACCTACATACTATACTTTTAACAACCCACTCTTAAATTTTCCTTAATGTACCACTTAAGTTGATTTCATGTTTTTAGGATGTCTTTCTCCAGGCAGCTATAGGAAATAATCTACGTGTAAACTTCTCAGTATTGTTTGAGATAAAAGATATCTGTATCTCGCAAATTAAAAAACAGGATCTAAGAGAAGCTTAATGGTCTGAAAAGAGGCAAAATAGTGGGTGAGAAGGACAAAAATAGGATATTACCATCCATGATACTATATTTATATTCTGGATCAGCCCACCTTTCTGGGCTTGCCTGAATTTCTCAACTTGTTCACTTGTTAAACATATAATGAACATTGTGCAAGGATACAAAAGGTTAAAAAAATATCTAGTCCCTGCCCTGGAGGAAATTCTAGAAAAGAATCAAATTAAAGCTCACCATATAGTGTCTTATTACAAACAGCAGAGTGAAACGGGAGCCCAATGGACAGATACCCAAATGAGAATGCATTCCAATTTTTCATCGTCATGATGAGTGAGAAGGGCTCTGAGTCTAAAAAGGACACTTAATTCCTACCTTCCTTTTGTGTCTCTTTGGTGTAAAGGAAGACACACATTAGTCTTTCAATTAACAAAAGGGAGGTGATAAAGTATAACTGAAGGACAACAATTGTGGGCTTTAAGTCCCTTTCCCCCACATCAGACCCTCATCCCTCCCTGTTCCCTGTCTTTTGAAACTTTCTTTGGAACTTGTCTAAGTAGCTTCACATTCTGGACTGAATATGCCTTGTCTATCAAGTGAGGAATTACCCTCTTTGCTCTATGTTCAGTTTGGAAAAGGTGACTAATCAAGGTCCCTCCCACCAAATTCTACAATCCAGGTATTTCCAGACCCAAAAAGGCAGGGAGAATTCTTCCCAAGGAAGGGGCCAAGGGTAAGAACTGGGGTCTAGGGAGCAAGGAACAGCGAAGGAGGCCGAAGCCAGTTCTCACCGAGAGGATCTTATCACCCTCCTGGAGCCGCCCATCCAGGGCCGCAGCCCCATTCTCTTTGATGCGGCTGACGTAGATGCCACTGTCGTTGGAGACATACTGCTGATCTGTGCCACCGACGATGTTGAAGCCCAGCCCTGAGAAAATCATGGAGGAGTTGTAAAGGAGATAGTGGTGAAGAAGAAAGGGATTAGAGGAGAAGAAGAGAGAAAGAGGAAAGTTCTAGTGGGGAGGGGAGGCTGACAAGTCAACTGTGATGTAACTGGTCAACAGACTTGGGCAAAGCCAGTGAAGAGTATCATCAACAGAGGTCAAGAGTACCCAGAGTTGGGCACTTAGACCAGGCAAGACTAAAAACATAAACGCAGGTCATCAACATAGTTTGTTGAATATAAAAAGATCTCTACTAAACTCAGTGAAAGAATAATGGTGATTCTTATAAGATGTGCTTCTGTTCACATTCAATTTTGATTCTGCTGGCGGCATTTAAAGGACCCAATTCTTGACTTTCCTGCTATTAATGTAACAGGGTGAGCTGTGTTCATGAGAAGCCATGCTTTCAACTAATTTGGAAATGAACTATCTTTAATTCAGTGGAGAAGAGATTCCTAACCAAAGCTACCCATTCATACTTCCCTTCTCCCAATGTTCAGGACAGTTTGTGTATGGAGGTGTTTTGGAAGAAATGGTCTTAGGAGTTTCATTTATTTTTCTATTTTGAGTGTAGACGTTGGCAGGAATCCTGGGAACCAGAAAGTTAACTGAAGCTTCAATAATAGGGCTAAATCACCAACTTCAGTTTCCTTTTCTACCTCCAGTACAAACAACCGTGAATTTGGGTAGTTTGCCAAGTTTTATTCACTGTAGGAAACTGACTACCCACGGATTAACAACTCTCCATTCTCCCCCTTGCCCAAACCCCTGGCGAACACCCTTTTATCCTTTGCTTCTCTAAGTGACTAACTTAAATGGGTATAAAATTTCAGTTACGAAGATGAGTAAGTTCTGGAGATCTGATGTACAACTTGGTGCCTACAGATAACAATAATGTTACAGTACACTTAAATATCTATTAAGAGTAGGTCTCATTTAAGTGTTCTTACCATAATAAAATAAAATAAAATTTTAAAAAGAAATAAGACTAGTAAAGTGTCATTTCCATGGACAAACCACTAAGTTGTGGAAAGAATTTCACTATACAAAAACCATTGTTATAAAGGGATTTTATCTATGCATTAAAAAGGAAAGGAAAAAAAAGGAACCTCCCTGGGGTTTTCTTTCTGTCAGATACTGTAGAATTCATAGCCATAGTGCCAAGAGAAAAGAAATACTTAGAAAACAATTAAAAAACAAAAATCTGGTGGCACGATTAGAAGGAATAGGCATAATCACCAGCTTACTATTGGTTTCAGTAGAAAACAGATACTTAAGGAGACATATGTGGGCTTTCTAAAAAATTCTCCCCATTGGTGGGATGAAAGCTTATGTGTGAAGCTCGCAGTATTAACATAAGTACTAGCAAATCAATCTATGATTTAAGGAAATATATGGCGAAAGGGAGAGAAGCAGCAGGAAACATCTCATTTAGATAGCATACCTTGTGGACAGACTATCTCAGCTAGAGAATGAAAAGGGTTTAAGATACAGGATAGCAAGAGCTCCTTCTGAAAGATGACTATTTTAACTTCCTTGAAGAGAAGGGTATGAAAATTTAAGTTACTAAACGGTTTCTCTTAGAACACTCTTAATTTGTACCATAGTGGGTGGAAAGGGGATGGTAGGTAGTGATGAGATAAAACAGAAAGGTAGGTGAAGCCTGATTAATAAAGGCTTTGAAATTACTTCAAAACTGTGATAGGTTTGAGTAAGGTGGCTGAGGACAACCAGCCTCTCACAATACCAGCACAAACTACTTGGAGAAAATCTTTCCAATATAACATCTTCACCAAATGCTACAGATGACTCTGGGGACTTGGGGTACAGGGAGCATGTGTTAAGTAACTAAATGCAATACAGTAGTTAGAAAGAAGAGGGACTTTGCTACTGGTTACTGAAAGCTACAGAACAGTGCCAAAAAGGAGAATGGAGGAAATCTTACTGAAATTTTCTATAAACATTCAAGTGCTTACTCTCACCCAGAAACCACATCATCTAGGCATGTTTATAAGTGATTGCTACGTTAGTTGTAAACGAACTACACCACTTAACATGAAAACTCTGAGACTGCCATGAAGTCTCTGTTCAGCCGGAACATTTATAGAACAGAACTTACCTAAAACTTGAAGTGTTGCTGAAATAAACGGGAGGCACCAAAGCACTGAGCAGCCGTACTACCAGTTCAAACCTGATCATTTACTACATGCCAGGTACTGTATTATGTTCTGAGGAAGACATAAAGCGAAACGGGACAGTCCCTGCTTTAACCACAAATAGAAATTTATCCTTTCCCTGTCCCTTCTAGAATCTGCAGAAACAAATTAAGGTCAGAAGACCTGGTCACAAATTCACCTCCGTTAACTTATCAGATATGTGGACTAAAATAGGTCAGTGTACCTCACTGATCCTTAGTTTCCTTTTCTGTAACATAAGGATTACAAATCCTGCCCTCTCTACCTCAAAAGGTAATTGGTAGGGTCCAATAACATAAAATCTGAAAAATTCCTTATGACCTACAAAGTACTACAAGCGTAGTTGTCAACAGTGGTGCCTGCTACCACCCCAAATCGGATAGTTTGACAGAGAAAAGATTAACAAATACACAGTACCAATGTGAAATATAAGACAGATAAAAAGTCCATCCATCTAGTAATAGGACAAGACTGGTTTGGAACTCAAACTTACTGAAGTTAACGCCTATAACTCGTGCCCCAGACAGCCTGGTCATGAAGAGTTTCCAGCCAAAGTGGTATTTAAAATATGCAACAGTCAGTCCACCACATGCACCAACCAATTGCAACAGATGTCAGCTGGAAATACGCTGAAGAAGGGCTATCCCAGTATGTATCTGCTGATTATCAACTGTGTTCTAGGAAAATCTTCCATAAATAGGGTAGATCACATATCCTGGTTTGTCTGGGAGTCTTTTTCTTTTTTCTAATATTTATTCATTTGAGACAGAGATACAGGGGGAGAGAGAGAGAGAGAGAGCATGAGCAGGGGGAGAGGCAGAGAAGCAGGCTCCCCGCTGAGCCAGGAGCCCGATCTGGGGCTCGATCCCAGGACTCCGGGATCACGACCTGAGCCGAAGGCAAATGCTTAACCATCTGAGCCACCAAGGCGCCCCATGGGAGTCTTGATATATACCTGCTGTCCCAGTATAATTAAAATAGCCCCCTTCAATTTAAAATCTCATCTTAGACCAATGTGACCATCCTATCTATAAAGGGTAATGTAAGAAAAAAAAAAGGGTGATATAAGAATGTTAATTGCAGCATGCTTTGTGGTAGGGCGGAACTGATGGTAATTTAGGTGTCTATCCTTTAGGGAATAGATAACTAGAATTTGGTTAAGAGTTAGAAGATCTGAATAATCATATATAAGGTAACAGAGTTTTAAAATGTAATGTTGACATTAATAGCACAATACCTTCTTATAAATTAGAAACCCAGCACACAAAACAGTATTACCTACTTACAAAAGTGCATGTATATTTAAAGACATGCAGAGACACATTAGAATGGGTGCCTCTGGGGGAAAGATACAGGATGAAGTTTAGGGATGAAGGGTAAAAATAAAACCAGGGAGGGACCTTGCAGGTACTGATGATGACAATGTGTGACAGAGCTAAAGGATATAATTCAGCTCTCAGCATCTATAATCCAAAAGGGGATGAAGGGAGAGGTAAAAAGAAAAAGACTGGGACTCAATAGACTTTTTAAAAAGTGAGGGAATGAAGAAGTATTGCATAGTGAACTCTGGTTATAACGTGTCAATAATTTTTTTTAAATGTGGTAAGATTAAAATGGGTGCTTGGTCTGTAATTTGGAAGAGACGTCTAAATGCAAAAAAGTATAAAGACAGCGTAAGAATGATGCCACCACAGGACTGGGAGAGAAAAGAAGTATGTCTTTGTATACAGAGTTTTGTAAAGTTAAACAAGAAATGCCTTCTTGTGGACACCCCCCACCCATCTCCAGGTCTGGACCTTGAGCTTATTTATGCAGAAGAGCAGTAACAGCAGAAGCAACAGTTAGTATTTATTGAGCATTTAATATGTACCAGGTACTATGCTACGCACTTTACATTCATTATCTCGTTTAATCTTCTCAACAGACACGTGAATTATTACTCACATTTTACAGATGAATTTCAAGATGAGGCATGAAGAGATTAAATAATTTTACAAAAGGTCACACAGCTCTTCACAAAGCCAAGACAGTAGGTCAGGATATTTGATTCCGAAGTGTGAGTTTTAAACCATTTTGCCATACTGTAGCTTTGTAGGAAATAGAAACAACTGCTTTAGGGAAAAAAAGTCTGCTAAGCAATGCTGCCTATCTCGGGAGTCAACCTGTCTGTGTTGGAATAATGGTTGTAGAACAGTTTCCAAAAGTAATATATTACAGAGGAAGAACTGGTCATTCTGGAGTTCTGTCACCTTAGTCAGGGTCCCTATTGTTTACTTTCAGGTAAAAAAAGGAAAAACCCTTCATTTATTTTATATTCTTCTCTATAAAATCTAAAAGTTATAAAGTAAAAGAAAAAAAAACAATGTTTAACCATATTATATATTATTCTGGAAATAATAATTTTGGACATAATTAAAACAAAAAAAACCAGTCCATTAACACCAACAATGGTAGCCACTTGTTGAATATGAACACCAGACTGACAAACACCCTATTTCCCCACTATCAACCTGCAGGTTTTTTCTATCCCAAGATAATCTCACAAATTCTCCCTAGATGTCAATCAAACTCGCTGTTTGTTTAGTGGTAAAATATATGTAACATAAAATTTAACTTTTTAGCCATTTTTAAATGTATAATTCAGTGGCATCGAGTACATGCACAATGTTGTGCAACCATCACCACTATCCAGATCTACACCTTTTCCATCATCCCAAACATAAATTCTGTACCCATTAAACAGTAACTCCTCCCTCTTCTTCACCCCTGTAACCTCTATTGTACTTTAT